CCTCCACTCTCCAGCAGACGCCCCACCTCTGCTGTCACCACTGCAGGTCCTGGGGGCCCCACCTGGGACATGACCCCTGCCCTCATTCCTTTGGGGCCTGAGTCCTGGTTACTGTTTTGTCTCAGACTGTGGGAGCTGCACAACCCTCTCACAGCCACAGTCACTCAGGGGGCACTGTGGCGCCAAGGGGACCCTGATGCCACACATGGACCTTGCCTCCTCTTGCTGATGGGAACAATCAGCACCAACAGAAACAGAATCATGACTCTTGCCTGCTGCTCCCTGGGCCCGAGGGGCTCAAAATGCCCCGGAGGCAGCAGTAGTTGAGTTCAAGGAGACCCTTCCCTGTGCCCTGGGGAGAGTGTGCTCCTCGGGGAGGGGACCTTTAACCCTGCAGAGCCCAGAGGGGTGGAGGCACAATTTCCCCAGCGGGTCACTGGGAGGGAGGAGCCTCCACTTGGGCCCTGGGCGCTCACGTTCTTCTTGGAGATGCGGTCTGTGTGCGGATCTTTCAGGACGCACCCGGCAGGGTGCTGCCCATCTTCAGCCTGAGCCCTTGGGAGGCTGCTCCTGTGCCCTGTGAGGCAAGCAGCTCCAGGACAGTGTGGCAGCAGCACAGCCCTGCGGCCTCGTCTGGGAAGTGGGCCCGGGCGGGGTGCGGTCTGCACAGGATTCCACACCTGTGGATCAGGCCTCCATAAGCCCCTGGATGGTGCTGCAGCCTCTGTGGGCAGGGGTCAAGCCCACACCTGAGCAAATATGTGAGGCCTGCCCAGCACAGAAGGGCCCGGTGTGGTCAACTCGCCAACAGGTGGCGGTTTCTTCCCCTGGAAAACGTGCTGTATTTGGGGCTCAGGAGGTCTGGGTGGCTGGCGAGGCCGACATTCAGAGTAGCTAGAACAACCTGGGGAGGTGGGGGTCCACGCTCCTGGTCCCTGCATGGCCTCAGCGCGACCACCTCATGCCTGTTCTGGGTGGCCTGTGTCAGGGGCTCGCTAAACCACCTCTTCCGGATGGATGCCTCCTGGTGGGTGTTTGCATGTGATATGAGGGCCTTCATGCTGGGGCCACAATCACACATCCATCCACATGGTTCCAGCCCCAAATCCCTGTCTCCACCAGGTCCTTGTCCCTCCAGGCCCTGACCAGCCCTCCAAAACATTGGTCACTTTACTGCCCACACAAGGTACAAGACCAGGAGCTTGAAGTCCCAACCACTGGGAAGATAAGTCCTTCGCCTCATCTCCAGCTCAGCAGCAGACCCCAAAGGCACTGCCACCAGGGGCTGTCAGCTCACTGCACCCCACATGGAAGGCTCTCTCTCGAAGGGAAAGCTGAGTGGCACATCCAGCCCTGGGCCTGGCGCTCTCCTCCCCAGCGTTGCTTCCTTCTTCCCGGCCAGCACTTAGAGCCTGCACATGCGATCCTTATGACTGCATTGGAGGCCTCGCTGTGTCACAATGACAGCAGGGGGCCTGATGTTTAGTGGACGCTCACTAAGACCTGTGGATGGATGAATGGACGGATGGATCACTCTCTCCTGGGTGAGGGTTTGCAGGCTTTGGTTTTGTTAGTTGGCTAGGGTTCGTGTGAATGGGGCATTTTCCCAATGGCATCCTTGTTGGACTGAACATAATTGTACCCCAAATGCCGGCTTTTTCAACAATAGAGAAACCAGAGCCCCAGGCCACTCCCTCTGTTTGGGAGTCTGAGTGAGCAGAGAGTAGGGGACTGTCTTCTACCCCAACCCTCAGCCAGCCTTTGCCAGGGTTCCCCACCATCCTGGTGTCTGAACACTGACTCCTCAGGACAGATGCCCCAGGCAAGATGCACTGTGGCAGGCACATAGGGACCTGCCTTATTCACCGGGAATTCCCTTGACAGGGTTTGGCCTGACCTAGAGGACACTAGGCTCCAAGGGTTGATGCATTTGCTGGCTTCAGGGGCCTTGACCTCAGGACTTCACCAGGAGTGTGGCCAGTAAGAGAGGGGCACCTGGCCTTTGGTGGTGGTGTCTGGCTCTGTACAGGGCTCACGGGTCCTACCCACCTCATAGGGTGAATAGGGGGCTAATGAGGTCATGCATGTAAGTGCCGTGAGGGGGCGCTCACCACGTGGGCCACTGCCACCCTGAGACCTGAGCCAACCCTGTCACTTCCTCTCCCAAACACCTAGATTTACAGAGGAAGATGGTCTCACAGCTGGGTTGCCCAGTGCTTGGGTCTGACTGAGCCCATTCCCCACTCCAGCTGCTGTGGGGTGAGAGGCCACCAGGGAAAGCTACGGAAAACTGATAGCCACAAAATAGCTGAGGCTTTAAAGGGGCCGCCGCTACACAGGCTCCCCCTTTTCTCAGTTCTCCATCCTGGATGGTAAGCAACACATTCTCCTCCACTGAGACTGGGGAGGGGCTCTCAGCCGAGGAGTGCGAGAGCCAGAACTCCCTGCCCCAACCCCCACTCAACTCCCTCTGCCAAGGACAGGCCAGGGTGGGGGCCCACAGCCCCAGGTAGCCAGATCCCGCCTCAGGACGGCTGGGGAGGATCAGGGCCTGGTCGAGTCCGTTCTACACGGAGTGCGGGGAACCATGAGCCCTGGCCCAGCACCAAAGGCACAGGGAGGTCTTAGTGATGAGGGTGATGGGGTTCAGCAGCCCTCGCTGACCACTTCAGGAACTCTTTCCCTTGCCTTGTCTCACTCCCAACTAAGTGCCCAGTCCTGGCACAGAGCTGCCCACCAGTCATGTTGGGGTGCAGTGAGGGGGCAGCTGGAGGAGCTCACAGGAAGAGCAGGCTCTGCTGGTGGATGGCAGGGGTACAGCCAGGTGCTCAGGGAAGGCTTGCGGGAGGGCAAGCTGGAGCCCACACCCATGCCCCAGCACAGGCTGCAGGAAGCGTGGAATAGTGGGTCCACTATGGTGAGGGACCAGGGTCTTCTCCCCACAGCTAGTTCTGAAGAGGGGGTAGAGGGAACCCAGCCCCCCACTCCCCAAAGTTTCTGAAGCACCTCTTGGGGCTAGTGGGAGGGGTGGTGGGCAGGATCCAGGAACTGCTGTAAGTACAGGAGTGCCAGTGTGTCCCAGAGCCTGGCGGCCCCGCCCCCCACAGACACGCTCATTTCTGGCATCTCTGAGGCCGATGGCACGAGAGTGGGGAGTCCCTGCTTCCCTCCCCCTCTGGCACTGTACCCGCTGCTGTCGCTGTCTGATGTGTGTGTCTAACTGCCGTTTTGACGCCCCGGAGGGATGCCGGGTGACTGTTTCTGTGGTCTGTGGGTGTCTGTGTATCTGCACGTAGGTGTGTCTGGCTGGCTGGCTGTGAGTGTCTCAAGCTGAATCTGTTTTTGACCCCGTCTATCTGGACGCGCCTCGGGGAGGGGCCCTGCCTTCCTTTGCCTCCCCTCCCCCCGCCCTTCCACGGGGCTGACGCGGCCGCGCTGCCTCGGTAGTGCCCCCAGAGCAGGGACCTCTTCTATCCCCGCAGCCGCGAGCGCCCCCCAGGGGGCCGGTTGCTGGGCTCCACGCTGCTGGACGCCCCCCGAGCCCCGGGTGCGGGCACTCCCCTCCCGCGGGCCAGCTGGCCCTCAGCTTTCCTTGTGTAACTCCACGTCCACCTGGACCCTGCGCCGGTGCCGCCCCCGGGAGGCTGAGACCCAGAGTCCCGCGCGGGCGGCGGGGGGGCGCTGTGCCTGGCAGAGCGCGGCTTCTCGGACGCCCCTACGGTCTTTTCTCTTTAAGACGTTCCTGCCTTCAGACCCGCTGGCCCCACGGATGAATGAGGGGGTCCCGCGGGGCAAGTTGCCCCGAGCGCGGCTGTCGGCGTTCCCCCCGCCCCACTCCAGGTCCACAGGCATCTGCGCCGACGAGGGCAAGCCACGGGCCACCCGGACCGAGGGCACGGGGCAGGCCGAACGGCCGAAAAGCTGGGTCCTGGGCGCACAGGCGCGCCGGCAGCGGGC